GGACGGGCTCTCGGGGGCGTCGGGCGTTGGCTCCGACCTGGATCTCTGGAACCGCGGGTCCGTGTGCCTGAGCATCTCGGCCGCCGACATGCGGGCGCTGGTGTCCGAGCGGCTGCCCTTCTTGAGCAGCAGGGCTTTGAAGTTGTCGCTGCTGGTGCTGCTCTTGCGCACGCTCCTCTGGATTGACCCCACCTGTTTGGGGGAGGCCAGAGTGGGGGCGGCGCCCGTGGGGGTCACCGGCGGGGAGGGAGAGTGGTTTCGCGAGTGGTCGTCCTCGGAGTCTTTCCTGCCAAGGACTTTCCTTTTGGATCTGTGATTTAAGGGCATCGAGATAAAGGTTAACTCTCATTCACCTTGGCCACTTCTTCAGCACATCAACGACTAAAGGTTGTCTTTCAAAACTTAATTTTAACTATGAAAAACTGAACACCCTTGAAAAAAGAATACTTCGTTGTATCACCAAAACTGCCTACGAGATTCATTACGGAAAGTCTCCACTCTCGTTGGAATATTGAAAAAATGTTATTAGCACATGTTTGCAGTATTCCACTCCTTGTGGGAACTGGCGCATGGACATAAGGCCTTCATGCTTTTCCACCCCCTTCCCTTCCCCTCCTCCCCGCTTCCATCTCTCTACTGCAAAAGATCTGTCTCCATTTCCCATCAGCTCTATTATTCTGCTCTTTATTTATATTTTGGGCTTCTCACATAACAGAAACCATGTGATATTTAAGCTTGGGCCTCTGATTTATTTTACCTAAAATTATGGTCTCAAGTTGCATCCATTTTCCTGAAAATAACTCGTGTATCCTTATGGGCAGAGTAGTACTACCCTGAGAGAATGTCACATGCTACGTGGCCTTTCTTTCTACTTTTGCTTTTCTTATTTGATGTTTGCACACAGGCCTGTGCCAGAATATTCCCCCCATAAGATATGCCTCACTCCAGGTTCTAGAACAGCCGTACCCTCCGCATTCTCAGTCATTCTGAACCTGTCTTCCTTGGCATTTACAAAGACTACACACCAACTTCTAGAATTCAGTCTCCCAGAAAGCAAGAGTGTACCTTCTGTACCAGACCCTCTTTCAGGGTGGACTTCAAAAAAACCTCAGTGAGTAAGAAAATGCGAGGGATGGGGTGCAGTGTGGGGGAGCAGGAGCTGATGGGGAGAAGGAAAATGTTGCCATGGGGATTTCTTGCCCTCATTCTCAGAGAATCTCCCCGGCCAATGTGTTTTGATACTGACAGTAAATCAGGGATGAGAAGACAGGTAAGTTCAGAGCACCCGGTTGGTCTCTTCCTGACAACTATACAGTAAGTGTCAGTGGGCAAGAGCTGCCTGATGGAATCTTGATAGATTATTTAGAAATAATAAAAAAGACATGGAACCAAGGGTGGTTGGAACAGGGCTATAACTCCAGCACCCTGGGAGGCTGAGCCAGGAGAATGGCAAGTTCTGAGCAAAGCCTGGGCAACTGAGCAAGACCCTGTCTCATTAAAGGGCTGGGGACGTTGCTCAGTAGGAAAGCTCTGGTTTCAATCCCAGTACCTAACTCTGCCTCTTCTCCTGCTATGAATACCCAGCCCCTGCAGCAGGGAGAGGTTGCGCTGCATGCAGAGGAAGACTGGAAGCCAAGTGCACCAAGCAAAGCTGTATGCTCTGCACTAGATGCCACACCTATGTCACCATACTTGTGCTTCACAAAGCTTTGAAGGCCGTGGAGGAAACAAATGCTTGCTTTCTGCTACTAGGTCAAGCCTCAGTTTCCACGTGGCTTACAGCAATGACAAAGGTGGCTGCCCTGGCACCGTGGTGTTCCCAGAGTTGTCTCCATGTTTCTGGACAAAAAGAAGCCACCAAAGTGGCAGGCAAGGTCCGAAGGGTGGCCAGAGCTGATGGGACAACAGCTCCCGCAGGACACAGCGTATGGCCTATAAGACTGGCTCAGTGCTTCTACTCCGCTGGTCAACAAGAGCAGTGCCCTGGATGAACCAAGGTAATGGATGACCCTGAACAAAACACAGAGGGAAGAACATCTCCAAACTGTAGAACTGGAACAGACTTTAGAAGTAGTCTAGTCCAGTCCCAGTGAATCTAGGGCACAGGTGCTTCAGTGGGCCGTTTGACTCATGAGAGCTCTAAAAGGTTTGCCATCACCGGTCCAGTCCAACCATGCTGGGTTTTAGAGAAAGTAACAGAGTACAGAAAGAAGACCCACTGGTTAGGATGAGCACCAGGACTCAGTGGCACTTCCTGCCACTCAAAGTGCACGGCCTCTCAGTGTGTGCTGGGGACCCTCTAAAGCAGCTCAGCTACCCTCACTCTTTCAGATACTGGCCCGTGCTATAATTTTTTGTTTGGTTCTTGATGTGAGAGACGGGCGTACTGACACATAAACTAACCTACAGCTACACTTGATTAAAGCTATGACCTTCAATTGTAGAGACAGAATTGAAAGATAAGGTAGGTTTTTAGTAGAGCATCGCTGTTTCTCGAGAGCAGCTGGTACTTGAAGTGAGAATTAAATTTAAACATATGAATTCGCTGTGTGTGTGTGTGTGTGTGTGTGTGTGTGTGTGTGTGTGTTTCTAAAGAAGACAGCTATAAAAAGTATTTAAACAGTTAACACTGGCTTAAAAACTAATTACTTCAATAAATATAAAAACTTCACACCTCACATGGTGCTCTACACTTTCCATCTGGCTTTAAATCTGAAGTGAATTCATTTGCATTATAAGATTTGCAAGCTAGGTTTCGATTTAGATATTCTTTTATTTTAAATTATGAAGTTAGGGGCTGAATGACATGAAAATAAAGCCCTACATAGCACAGGTTTTAGATTTATTTTTATTACATCTGCTAACATAGTACCAATGCTACAACGGAAATTAGCCTGGGTCCTTGTTCTCTCTTTGCAAAGCATCCCAAGCCTTCTTGGCCTTTACCTCTTTCATGTATGTAGTGAATAACAGACTGGCCCATGTGGACATCTGTAGTACATGGGACTGTCTATTAGGAGAAACCAAACATATTTTAGTGCCTTCTGAAAGCTGCCAAAATAAAGCATAAAAGAGACCTTTGGTGTAGTTTTGGGAAAACTATGCACTTATTTGGCCCCGCCTCAGTTGGGTTTCCTTGAGACCAAGTATTTAGTACACAGAGCAACCAGGCAACATAAACCCCGTGGCTTGCTATTATAAATACATATCCGTATATATTTAGCAATTCAACACACTGTACCCTAAATGAAAGACTGAGTTTTGGGGGGATTTCCTAACAGCTAAATTCCAGTTGGTTTCATTCAACTCAGAAAATATTTATTGAGCGTTTATTATGTGTCTGGTGTAGAAAAAGTAAGAACCATCCATGTACACCTCTAGAAAATGCCACTAAATTTGGTTTTGAAAGACACACCACATCATTTTTCTGTTTTGAAGAACAGTTGAATAACCAGTCATTTTCTTTCTTCCAGTACTGAGGATCAAATCCAGAAGAGCTCTACCACCGAGTTATACCCCCAGCCCTTTTATTTATTTATTTATATTGGTCCCAGGGATTGAACTCAGGACCTTGCACTTGCAAGGCAGGCAGTGGAACCACTGAGCTAAATCCCCAGCCCTTTTCATTTTTTTGAAATAGGATTTCGCTAGGTTTCCCAAACAGGATTTGAACTTGAGATCCTCTTGCCTCAACTCTTTCACTGCTGGAATTGCAGACACATTCTACCAGGCCTGGCTCCAACTTTTTGTGTGTGATAAGATCAAAGAAACCAGTCAGACAACATTACAGGGAACAGTTTTTAGGTCTATACACCAATGCCACAGCAAAGAAGATGTAATTCTTGGTGAATACCTCAATTTGCCAGCTTAGTTTCGCCTGAAGTTAGGTATTATCTGTATTTCCATGGGGAGTTCCAGGTAGGGACATACTTTCCACTCCATAAAAGTTTTTTGTTTTTTTTTTAAATTTGGGTCCTTTCCCCCCCACTTTTCTTTTTGGTTACAGAAATTGAACTCAGGGCCTTGCACCTGCCAGGCAGGCACTGCACTGCTAAGCTGCCGCTGCATCCCTGGCCCTTCTGGCACTTTATTTTGAAAAATGGACGCTGTACTTTTTCTTTAACCCAACAATTTCTGATGCCAGTAGATGGCACTAGTGGCTTGCGGTAGCATGCAAAGTTAATTCCCTTCCCTCTGGTGTAAAGAGATGTATCTTCACTGACACATCAAAGGAGTCAAAGAACCGAACCACAAAATTATAGTTTTTCTGTGAAATGGAGGGGGCCCTAAGACACTCTTAAGAAGAGGTGCCATAGCGCTAGTTTGTGCCTCTAAGTCCCTTGTGCTGGATGGCTCACCGGCTGCTCTAACCAATTCCTGTAAGTACCACCTCAGGACTGACACACTGTGTTTCCTGCCATCAAGAGCAGGGCCTACCAGAAGGTATCCCACCATCCCACCGAGCTTCTGTCCCCAACATCAGTTACGATGACACTGTTTCAGGGGAACAAAGCAACACAGAGATTGGAGTCAGAGCCCATAAAAGCAGAGAAACACGGGGCGGGGGGAGTCAATAATAAAGTTAATGAGTCACGGCCGGGTGGCAGAAGAAACCTCAAGAAAAGAAGACAGAGGAACCGTTTGGAAAGAATGAATTCTAAGGTAGACTGAAGTAGAAGGGTGCATCTTGGATACCTGTGAATAGCTGCAAAAAGGTCTTCAGTGGTCCTGGGTCTTGTGGGGGTTGTCACCTCCTCACTGTCGTCTTTGTTGAAGGCGTCGCAGGCTTCTAAGGAGAGATCGTCTGAGTGTGTCTCTTGCACCCCAGCTATGGAGAAGCAAGCAGGCAGGCAATGAGATGTCGTGACCAGGACTGCAGTCCTTTGCCAGGCTCCCAAATCCGCTGCTTCCCTGCCATTCCCGACAGTCTGAGAGCCACAGGGGACACAGTGGGGTCTGCGGTTCTTGGTTTTACAAAGACGCAGGAAATGACACAAGCCAGCCGGCCAGGGCTCACTCCTGTCTGCTACAGAACTCGTACTGGACTGCTCTTAAATTCCGGGAGAACATTTCTTTGCAGTTCTACAGCAGGGAGATTACTCATTGCTATTTCATACCCAGCCTGCTACAAACCACCCCCACCTCTCTATTTTCTGCAAACTCTATAAGCTCTCCCCTTAGACCTGGATTTTGAAGAAAAAAAAAGTCACAAAATGTGAAGTTGTAACTTACACGCAAAAGCCCACATGCTGCTGGCTTTCATGTGGATAAATCTGATCTACCTGGGTTCCATATGTAAAACTCAGCAGCCCTATTTGGCACAGCTGCAGATGAAGAGAAACACGGTAGAGAGAAGCCAGACTTACCTTCCCCATCCTGTGGAGAAGGGCAGCTCTCCGCGCTGCCCCCACCATCCGCGCCGTCCCCTGCGGGCTCTGCCTGCGTGGGGGCTGGTGAGGCATCGGGCTGTACCATGGGGGCATTGGTTTCCACGAACCCTGCAGCTCCTCCCTCCAGAACCGAGCTGCTGGGGTCTGTGGCATGAGGACTGGCTCGTGCTGCAGAAGTCCCTTTTGCCTCGTTGCTGTGCACGGAACCCTCCTCTGCCCTGGTGGGGCTGGGCACAGCTCGGAGGACTTCGCTCACATTCTCCAAGGGCTCCGCTTCCAAATCTCTCTGCAGAGGTGGCACCACCAGGAACAGTTTGGGCTTCTTGGAGATGAGGGGCGGCTTCCTGATAGGTGAAGAGTCTGGGAGTGGGGTGGTCCTGAGGCCAGGCCCAGACTCTGCCTCCCCGGTGCCTGGCCCAGGACCTGGAGCTCCATAGCCACGGCTCTCAGGACCGCCACGCTCGGCTGCACTGTCTCGGTCACCCTGACTCGGGCTCTTGGCAGGCGTCAGAAGCGAGCTAGTCGCAGAGGCAGGCTGGCTTTCACTCTCCATTTCATTTATGCTATTTCGGGATTTCAGGAGAGCAGATGGCTTTAAGTGATACTGTGGAGCAGTCGGAGTTCGTTGTTCCTGAGCTGCTGGTTCAGGCGACAGCGCCACTTCGGTGCCCGAGCCCTTTCTCACGGGCCTCAACTGTACCATCTGGAGCACTTCCGTTGTGATGAGGGGCATGGGGGGTCTGCCGCCCTCCTCCTTGTTTGAAGGTGGCCTGAAGGCCTCCCGGGAGGATTCGGGCTGCCCAGGGCTTCTGAAAGAAGGCCTAGTGTGTTTCATGAATTTGGGGTCCAGGGGGGGAGCAGGTGGGGGCTCCAAGGAGGGCAGGAAAGATGGGGGTGCTGGCGAGGAAGCCAGTGCCTCTGGAATAAAGGGGCTCTGTGCAGTGGGGGGAGGGGGGAGGCACTCGTCAGTGGGGGAGAAGAGGGCGAGCACTTCTGGGGGAGGGGGGGGAAACACAGGCGAGTGAGGCAGAGGGGAGCCCTCGGGGCTGTCTGCTACAGGAGGTGGGGGGAGAAGGGGAGACTTGTCCTCCTCCGCCACCGTCGGACATGGGGCTGGAGGAGGAGCAAGGGGCAGGGCTGGGGCAGCATCCAGCTTCTTCACCGTGCCACTGCCTTCAGCGGACGTGTTAGAGGACAGAGACGTGGACGAGGAGGACATGGATACCGAAGAGACCAAAGAGGACTTCCTCTCTGGGACCTTGGGCTTGGCCTTCCCTTTCCCATTGGCTGGTGACAGTGACTTTAAAAACACAGGCACGGGGGTGAGTGCTGTGGGTGTATTCGACTGGCTGGAATACCCACTGGATGGAGAAGTGACTCTCTGGGACTTCTCCGGCGAGGTGGCCTTTGGTTTGACCCAGCTGCCAGGCGCTTGGGGCCTTGTGGCCTTGGACCCCGCTTGGATGTGGTGGGCCGGCCCATTCCCAGTCAGGGCTCCACCGCTGGCTGAGCAGCGCCCCACTGGGTTCCCGGGCTCTTCCTGCACGGCGCTGTAGTCAATGTAGTAACCCCAAGGGTCCGTGTACTCCGACTTGAGGCTGCTTGTGTCGCTCTGCGATGGCGTGACCCCGCACAGGGAGTACGTGTTGGGGGTGGTGGCGGAGGTCATGCTGCTGCCAGCACTGACCGTGCTCTGGCTCCGGGAGCGGGGTAGCCAGGGCTCCTCGAAGTCACTGCAGGGACTCTGCGAGGCCGAGCTGCCACCTTTGCCCATGAGGCTCAGCTGCAGCGACTGCTGGAGTGTGGCAATCAGGCTCTCATTGAGCACCTGCCCGTTCGACTGGCCGTTCTTCTTGGGAATCCTGCGGAGAGAGTCTGTCCGGGAGGGTGGCAGGGGAGGCTTCTTGGCTTTCTTCAAAGAGATGTTTCTTGGGAGGGATTTATCCTGGTAACCTGACTGGTTCCCTTGGCTTTTCTGAGCTCTTCCATCGAAAACATTGACCACGCTGTGCCTGGGGTTCCCAAAGCCACCACTGCTATTGCACAGATTCCCAGGCCCGCACCCCAAGTCAGTGTGCACGGACCTGTAGTAGCCAGTGTGGTCCTCGGAGCACAGGGAGCCTGCATCCTCTCTGATGGATGTCTGGTCCAAACTGCAGCTGCTCTGGTTACTGGTGGGAGTAGAGCAGCCAGGGCCAGCCAGATGGGACTTCAGGGGGGACACCCGCCCGCTGCCGGAGGCCCTATACTCCCAGGGCTCCATGCTGCCCTGCCCTCTGTCCCCGGAAGAGCTGGACTCACTCTTGCCATCCACATCCTGGGAGTGGGCTGGGAAGCTCAGGGTGTTTCTGCAAATACAGGGTGCAGCTTGGGACCCATTGGGAGAGGCCTCTGAGTCACAGAGGGACAGCAATGTGGTGACACTGGGGGAATGGGAGTCGAAGGGCTGGGAATGAACGGAGGAGTGGCCATCACTCCAGCGGTGGCTGGGGGACTGGTGACCAACCTTCACATTGTGTCTGGGTTTTATCCTTGAGTACGAGGAGCTGGCCATTCTGTTGTCCAGCTGCCCCACACTCTGAGCGGTGTGAAGAACGATAATGTCGGAAGATGACGAGAGGGTGGCATTGGGGATGATGCTGGTGGAGTAGGTCGCATGAGGGGAGACCATACATGCTGGGCCTGGTATGCTGTCACTCTCAAAGTGCCGCAGCTCCTGGGACTTGGGCCTCAAAAGTGTTCCCGACCTCAGGGCACCTCCAAAATGCCCTAAGTTGTTGTCTCCTTGTGAGTGTGCCCTCTGGTAGGGGAAGGAACCTTCCACATCATCTGCGGGGCCCAGGGCACCCAGGGAGTGAGCACCAGCCCTAGCCCCAGAACGCGGAAGACTGTGGAAGCCAGGGTCATTGTTGAGGCGAGAAGGGAACGCAACACCCGCCGGATCGCTCAGCACAGACATGTTGCCGGAGGAGCCAGAGAAGGGGCTCATCTGGGCGGCAATGCCCAGTCCCTTGTGGGCCCTGATTCTTCTCATTGAGGGTGGCACAACTTTCACGTCCTCAGTCTGGCAGCCGGAGTCCCTGGTTTCTGAGCGCTGCCCAGCACAGTGATAGCTGTCAAGCCTTCCTCGCATGGAGCAGTGGTCAGGGGGGTACCCTGAGTGACCACCAGCCTCATCCTGGCCAGTGCCCAATGCTGGAGAGAAAGGAGAAAGGGGCTTAATAACTTGAAAGTGGAAATCCACAGCATTACTTGTGCCCTCGGCCCCTTCTCTGTTGTGATTAAAACAAACGAATGGAAATACTTTTTCTGTTTGATTTAGTTTCTTTCCTATGCATGCCTAATTGGGTTTAAATAGTACCTGATACCTCCTAAGATAACAATCCTCATTTTATCAATTTCATGTACTTTAAATCCTCCTACGGCTTGAGTGCCACATATGGCTGTGCAAGATTTACCTTTCAAAGAACCAGCTTTTAGAAAAGACTTCAAGGTAGACTTTTGCCCCGGCACAGAGTATCTATCAAGCAGGGACCACCTTCCCGTCAAACAATGAATGCAGCAGCAGAACGACAGGGCCCCAGAAATACCATTTGCAAGGGCTACTGGTATAAAATAATTTTAATTATTATTATTATTTTTTTTAATGTCAGAAGGAAATCCTAAGAAAATGAAACTTGATTTACAGGCCCATCTGTGTTTCGAACATTTCATTATCCATCTTAAGCCCTTATCATCTGTCTGCTTGTGACATCCAAGATTCCACAGCAATCTGTTGTGTTCTGGTGGGGGGAGAGCGGCAGGAACTGATTCGGTAAACATCTCAAATTAGGCTTAATCATTTCTTGGAGTTTTACAACCAAACAGAAAGTAGTATATTAAAAAGGAAGAAACATGAGGAATGGCAAAAAAAAGAAGGAAGTGGATGAGAAAAACCTTAAGTATAGATAAACAGATCTCAGGCTACCAAGAAAAGAACAGAGCTTTAAAAAAAAAAAAAAAAAGCCAAAAAAACCCCCAAAATAACC